CTGGAACCAGTCCCTAGTCTGCGATCCTTGAAGGGCTGGTTTCCCAGATCGGCCCTGGGTGTGACGCCAATTGTTTCTTTAGGGTTAGGGCCCTGATCTAACAGGCAGAAGAGCTGGGGTGACTCCTAATGTGAGTGAAGGACACATCCCATGAGGCTGGCAAATAGTCTCTTGAATCAGATCAGCACTCTCCCCCCATACATCATGCCAACCACCGGCATTTCTCAGTTTGCTCATCCAAATGTCAGGAACAGAAGTAAGAAAGCCATTGCAGCGTGGATCTCCAAGGGGGCTACCACCATCATGCAGCAACAGCTTCCAGCACCACTGGCTTCAAAATAGGGGCCTGGCTTTGTTGACTATGGAAACGACATTCTACATCAAATCATCTGGCCTGTCCAATTGCACAGGGATGACAAATCAGATAGATTACCTTGCATAAATTGTTAAGCTCCACATCTTACAGAAAAGGGGTTCTTAATGGGACTTCTGGACTCTAGGGGGTCCACAGATGGGCACGGGGGGGAGGGGGAATCACCAAATCCCCTGAAACTGTAGGCAAATTCTGTATTTATGCGCTTATGGACATCATTCTGAGGAGTGCGTCTGCCTCCTAAGTCGGAGAGTCAGCAGAATCTCAAAGGTGTGGCAACTTCAAAAGGGTAAGGTGCACTGATATTCAAACCAAACAGCGAGAACAACAAAGGAAGCTGTTTCTGGATTTCCCTGGGAGAAGCTTACTGTCAGGATGCCTCCATCCTGGCCGTTCAGTAGAGACAGGCACTTCCGGCTCACCTGCACGGCCCAAACCTGCGGTGACAGGGAGAGGGAGAAGGCGTCCGATGGCCCTGGGGGTCTGGGTGCCCACGTAGACCTGACCACCCACCCCTCCCTCCTTCTCGTCACCCCACGTCTGCCTACATTTCCTTCACAACATCTTCTTCCATTGCTCTCATTTCTTTCCCACGTCCGTCTCCCCTAACAACAGGGCGACACCTTAAGAGAGGGAACTACATCGTGTTTGACTTTGTAAACGCAGAAACTAGCACTGTGCTCAGCACCCTGGACACTCAGCTGGTTTTCGGAATGAACAACTGATGGAGTGACTCATCCACGCCTCAGCGGAGCCGAGGGACAGAGCGTCCGCCCAGCTCTCCCCGCTCCACTGCCAGGGTCTGAGGCCACGTGCTTCTGGTCTCATGGCGATGAGGACAGGTCTAGGCAATAGAATTCGTTCAGGTAGGAAGGAAAGGATGCGGTACCTCAGAGACAACGGGCGACTGAAGACACAAGTTCATCAGGAGCCCCAGAAGGGTATATATGACCTCTCTGAACAGGTCCACATCCTCCTCACACTTGGCCTTTGGAAACAAAACAAGGTGATCAATGTTCTTCCTGCCTTGCAGCTTTTCACGGTCACCTGTTTCCCTTGGCGATGGTCTCAGCATTACCCACACTCCCTAAATTGTCAGCGTCATGAACCTTCCAAGTGATGCTGGAAGATCAGACACAGGTTCTGTGAGTTGGCGTCAGTACAGGAGACCCGCACGGAGTCCCTGGTGCCTTTGCCACATGGCTCTGGCTTGGCGGGTCCTGTGTTCAAGCCGCAGAGTGAGCTGCTGAAATGAACGGACCAGCCAGCTCCTCCGGAAACCCTTCAAACCTCTCCAGGTGGAGGAGACTTGATCTGGAGGCCTCTTTAAGGCCAGGTGCCCATCAAACCAAAGGGATAAGCCATTGGCCCCAGCACCCTCAAACAGAAATTTTGGAAAAGCCAGAGAATTAAGAAGCCAATTCTCCCAAAGCAGGGAAAAGACCAATCCTGAATGGAAAAGCTAAAATACCAAGAGGTCCAAGCAGGCGTCCCCAAATTCTTCAGAGGCAGACATCTGTCTTCGGGTGGCAGCCTCAGCACTGAGGTTTCCCATGATGGCAATGCACTGGCAGAGAGCGGAGGTGTCGGTGACCCTGGGATCTCGCTTCTGAAAGGAAAGGAAGAGAAAGTGAGCCTGCAGAGAGCAGGGCAAATGATGGCAGGGGGTCTCCAGGGGAATCCCACCCTCACCCTCATGTCTAGGAACCAGGTCACATCACACGGGGCATCAGTGGGGTCACGCTGGCAACAGGAGGGAGGCACACAGAGGGGAGGACCCCAAAGCACCCTGGCCTGGAATAGGGAGGCCTGGGGCTTAATCCCAGCCATGCCACCAACCAGCTGGGAGCACCGGGGCAGGTCCTGTCCCTTCTCAGAAGCTCCCCTTCTGCATCTGTGAAATACTGGGGTGTGGCTATGCTCTCTAAGGTCCCCTGAAACTTCTGCGGCTCACTGGGGACAGGGTATAGTCACAGCCTGCTCTTCTAGAGAATCTCCTCCGTCATCACCCCTTGCAATGTTATCCCTCATCAGCTCAAATCACCATACTTGCCTTCCTGACCGGGAAGGCTTCCACGCAGGGGACAAGGCTGCATGTGGTGCAAATGACAGGGACTGGGTCAGAAGGGGACTGATGGCGACAGATCGACTGTGCTTTCACCTAACGGCCCACATATGGTGTTTCTCCCCTGAGATCAGCTCTGTCCATATGCCATCTCCACCTGTCCCGACTGCAGTTGTTTTAATACCCAAGACTTGTGTAAATTCCAGCTGTGAATAAATCATTAATAAACCCGAGAGGCAACAGGCGTTCTGCAGAGTAAACTGTTTAGACAGTCCCGCTCGGGCTCCCGAGAGGGTCTGTCACCGGTGATAAAACGCGGGTTTGCTCACCAGAACGCCCGTCAGTGCCGGGAGAGCTCCTGGGAGGCTGGCCTGGAACCAGACTTGGAATCTGTCGAGACAACATCCGGCATGATTCATTTCTACATGTGCTAACTATAACATAAGTACAGTGTCTCAGGTAATGGAGCAGACATATCCTGGGCCCATGTGGTTTGTCCGCGCGTGGCTGATTCATTTGGAACCAAAAAAGAATGTCACTGGGTAGGAAATGTGACTTTCACTTTTCCAAGCCTGGAAACTTGCCTTTGATGTTAAACATCGGGTCTCAGAGGGCAGCTGTCTTAGGCAGAAGCTGCTGGAATCTCCAGGTCTCTGCCGATCTGACTTAGCACCACCCCTGCCCTCCTCTTGCTCTGAGTCTACACACTGTGCGCCGTGCAAACAGGAGACATGGTGGAAGCATGTTTACATGTCACAGCCGTGAGGAGGGCCCTGAGGCACACACACTCCACCTGCCAGAGGGGCCAGTACACATTCCCAGCCCGTGCCAACAATCTGTCTACAGGCACAAGCAGCTATCTCTCATTGTATGACTCTTTCTAAGTAAGATGCCCTAAAGCTGGTGAAGAAATTAAAAAAAACAAACAAGATGCACTAAAAAAAAGAAAGAAACTTGAGAGTTATAAAAATCGAAGACCTGTACCGTCATTCCCAGCAGCAGCTTAGCAAAGGAAAAAAAAACCCAAAAAAACAGAGGGGATGGTTCCCCATGATGCCACTGGCAGCCTAACAAGATGTTCATCCTTACTGTCTCCTCTCCCCACGTCTCTCTCTCTCATTTATTCAACGTTCATCTGCCAGGCAGCTCCTGTCAGACACTGATTAGGGGAAGGAGCTTCTCCAGCACACAGCGGGCTTGCCCACTGGGACAGGTTCCGTTCTAAGGTACATTACTGCTTCCAATCTCGTGGAGGGCTGGTCCCCCTGCACCCGGAGGGACTGGATGGGAGCGGCTGACCACCGCCCCGGAAGACATCCGTTCTCCTACTCAGTGAAGTTTGTGATGCTCGGGTGGCCAAGCCCCCCGTGTGCTGCACGGTATAGAAGATCAGACGGTTCGACAAAGGTCGAAGAAAATACATCAATATCTGGAAAGAAAAATTACCTCTCATCCTGAGCCAAGCCTGTGAGCAGTCCCATGGCTGAGCTGGCCTTCTTATCTGAGAAATCAAGAAATGACACCAGGGCTTCCAACAACCTGCAAAAATCCATAACACCCTCAGAGAGGGCTGACCTCCAGCTGATAGCATCCCCAACACGGAGGCTTTGCATGGAGACAGGGGAGGAGTCGGCACCTTGATGAAATAAGATGAGAGGATGGCCTTGCCACACCCACCCCCCAGGAAGCCCAGCTCCCTGTCCACCCCAGTGAGGCAGACACTCTCCCTTGGGACCGGCTCTACCACTTAATGGGAGGTCCCGGGGGGTGAACAGTTTTAACCAAAGTTCATTGATGCTGACGTGGGAGGAACCTCTGGTGCCTCTGCCGCGAGACTCTGGCTCGGCCAAGTTGAATCACATAAATGACATCTAAATGGCATGCTTACTAATCTGCTGATGACTGAGTGGGAGGGCCCCCTAATGAAGTGGGGGATGGAATAAAGATTTAACACAATTTTGACAGACTGCTGAATATAGCAGAAGAAATTTAAGAGAGTGAAACTCAAAGCCCTTCACTCAGAGCGCTGGAAATTCTGTATGAGTAACAACTGGGAGACCTGGTTAATAACTGATTCATGTGAAAAAGACTTAGGGGTTTTTAGCCAATTGCAAACCCATTATGAGCAAACAGTCTGGTGCAGCTGCCAAAAAGGTCCTTGCTAACTGAGAGTTTGAGATTTGCAGATACTACTGTATATAAAATGGATAAACAACAAGTTTCTACTGTATAGCATAGGGAACTATATTCAATATCTTGTAGTAACCTATAATGAAAAGGAATACAAAAAGGAATATATGTATGTATCTGTGTGAGTGAAACATTATGCTGTACACCAGAAACTGACACAACACTGTAAACTGACTATACTTCAATAAAAAAAAACCTAATGTAACCTGAGGCTGCCTTAACAGACTGACCAGCACCAGGACAACGGGAGTAGAAGACATCTGTCCATCTAGCGAACCCAGACCAAGCACCTCCGGCCTGCTGAGTGCTGTGCTCAGTACTGGGACACAGTACTGAGCTCCTGGTCTCCTACAGCGACATGCGTTCAGTGCTATGTTAGAAACAGACACAGGTCCAGTGGCCATTGAGCCACCTGGCCAGAGGTGTGGGAGGATGGAGGTGGCAATGCCATTTCCACATCACTTGAAACTTGAAATCAGCTGAATGTGGAGCACCGGCCAATCAACACCTACTGAGCACTGTGTGCCAGGCGATGTGGTGGGTCCTGGGGCCACAGTGATGAAAACGAGACAAGGTCCCAGCTCCAAGGAGCTTGTGGGCCAGTGTCAGGCACGTGGGTGCAGGGGCGGAGCATCTGAGGCAGAGCACACATCAGTCACAAGGACAATGAGGCATAAAATCGCAGAGGCACACTTGGGGACTGCCGGCGGCCCTCACAGCTGGTCCTTAGGGTGTGGGCATGCAGTGAGGCTAGAGGGCTGAGCAGCGCCAGCCTGGGTCGTGGTGGGCCTTCTGCAGCCTTCTGGCTGGCTTGCCCTTTCCCCGGCAGGCCTGTGTCCCCAGTGTGGACGGTGGATGACTTGCTCGGTGGTGGTGATTTTAGGGGGGCTGCAGACTCTCGAGCCCCTCCGTCTCTGCATTTTAATAAAGCCCCCAGGTGATTCCTAGGGACGGTATTTCCCAGTCGTCCAAGAAGGAGACTTACAGGCAGTAGAGAGTCAGGTCAGCATTTTAGGTAGAAAAATAACAGGACAGATGTGCACTTTGGACAAATCCCATTGGTGGCACAGAGGAGGCTGGATTAGAGCAGGAAGTGCAGGAGGCAGGGAATCCAACGCAGTGGGCGGAGAACTGCTGCTGTCCAGACAATAAAGGTCAAGGTACTGAGCCGAGATGGGGCAGAGTAAGATGTACAGCTGGGAACACAGAGGCCCCGCGATGACCTAGAAAGGGTGGTGGGAGATGCTGGAGCCAGAGGGAAAGGAATCCAGGGGATACTGAGGAGGTAGGACTGACAAAGACCATCTTCTTATGGATGTCGGGGTAGGAAATGCATCTATGAAGACAGGAAATTCAGGCAGACGGTCTGGTTTGAGGAACCACTTTTGATTTATGAAGTTTATGATGCCTGTGACTTGGAGATGGAGGTGCCCAAGGGCAGAAGGATACTTCCTTCTAGCACTTGAGAGAGAGACTTAGAAGTGATCAGTAGGGCCAAGGGTAGGATCCTGGGGTCCCTGACTTGGAAGGATGGTGGCATCAAGGGGGCTCGCAAAGGAAACAGAGCAGGAAGAGCAGGGGGTGGGAGGAGGGCCAGGAAGATGAGATCTTTAGGACCAGACGCATCGGACCGTAAAGGGAGATAAAGACCTATTTAGGAGTCTGGCCTCCAGTTACCCACATTCATGGTACTGGGTTTATTCAGCAGCCTTATTCAGGAGGGACCTGGAAGTCAAACCACCCGAGGAATGGTTGAGGAAACCTGGATGCTTAACATGGAAAAGATTGGTGTCTTCAGATGCATCAAGCCGTGGAAAGCAGGAGAGTTGATGCAAGCAGTCGGCATTTGACAGAATGAACCACGGCCCCCACAGAGGGAGGTAGAACTGTCCCGAGTGCTGCGGGCAGGCAGTTTGTGCTCGGTGTAAGGAGATCAGTGTACATCAGTCAGAACTGTCCCAGGGCAGGACACACTCCTCTCATCAGCTGGGGGAGACCCCGGCCAATGAGCTGCTACGGCGCCCGTCCCAGTCCAATGGAGACAAACAGAATGCGAACGCTGGAATCTTCCCCGGAGGGCGTCGTGCACGGGCCCTGCTGGGCTACCCCCGAGGGGACATCGGTGCTGGGTGGGGCTGGACCGTGTTGTTGCTAAGGTCCCAGGTAACGCCACACTTCTGGAAAACCCCAACTTCCTCCAGAGAGCATTCCAGTGTCCCCACCGTCAGAAACCATTTGTTTCAGTTAGTTCAGTTCCTCCAGTGTAAATCTGTTCTCTCCCGTCCTGAGGTGAACGCTAATGAGCACAGAACAGCACGGAAGAGGGGCAGGAGGCCTAAGATTCTCTGGGTTTTGTCCTCGGAGACATAAACAATTGGGCTTCTCCTCCAGGTGACAAAACACACCCCCTACCTGGACCGTGGAGGACAGGGCAGCCCTTTCTACTCCCTCGCCTCTCCCTTTTTGGAGGCAGCTGGCCTGCTCTGCTGACAAGTAGCTGATGGACCGAGTAGATGGATCACAGGTCAGAAAATCGTCTCATGTAACTAATAAATGCACTTTCAACTCAATTTAGGACCCTGAGCAATAGACCCAGAAGACAGAAAGTGATTCTAAAAGTCATTACTGAGTCCACACCATGCGTCAGGCGTGACACGAGTTGCTTTCTTTGCTGTGGCAGGTGCTGTCTGCTGGGGAACCCACAGACATACTGCTGGCCCCCTTCTGCACTGCCCTGTTCTACCACACAAGTTGGAACTAACTTCCCCACCAGGGTGGCATGTTTCACAATTCTGACCAGAGGGAAACGAAAGCAGTAGCTTCTCTTAATAAAAGGGACAGACCTGGCTCGTGCTAACCTGTCTTAAAGAGGGATGTGATGTTTGGAGTTGCAGCAGCCTTGTGTGACCATGAGGGAAGGGTCAGAAGAAGGACAGAGACTTTGATCTTGACATCTCTGAGCCACTGAACCAGCTACCTCCATCGTTAGTCTTTCTGTTATGTGAGGAAAACAAGACGAGCTTCTCTGGGTCAAGTATTCTGTCAAATGCAGCAGAAAAACTTTTAATCGGCTACATGCATCCCCTCTCCGACTCCTCACCATAGATCTGTGATGCCCAGGAGATTTCAGGCCCACCAAGGCCTTCCTGGGTCACAGAGGTGGAAAGAGACAAGCAGAGGATTTGCGCTCCCGACTGCTTGAATCTAAAACCCCCGCACTTTCCACAGAGGGATACTGGCCCTCGCTCAGCTCCTATCCACGCACATCTGTCCCTTCAACTTGTCACAGGGGGAAAGCATCTGGGGAGGACTGTGGTACCCGTGTCTCTCTGTGAGGTCACGGGACCTGTGTGCAGCCCTGCCCTGTTTCAAATGATCTCATTTCGTTTCAGAGAACATGTTCTACCTCTTCCCAGTTTAACCGGAGATGGACGTTAACAAGGAGACGGGCACCAGGGTAAAAGGCAGAGGCTTCTTTGCCTGAAGAGAGGAGGCAGGATCGCAGGAGATGATCAAACATGCCAAGGCACTGGGAAACATTCAAATGGAAACTCAAGCAATTCCGAGATAGCTTGGGAGAAAAAGCTTATGAGGACTCGAGCTACAGTTACTCAGAGACCAAAACCAAATGAAAAAACATGCTGAAGGTACTGAGGAAATGACGGCAGGGTCACTTGAAATGTGAAATGTGCTTTTGAGGGTTTAACTCCACTAACGAGCCACCTGCCTGTGTGTGTGGGCTGAGCTTCGGGGGCTGCCAAGGCCATTCTCTGAGCCATGGGGCTGCGCTGGGCCGAGAAGGGGAGAACCACGGCCAAGGTTTATCCACCCCCGCCCCACCACCGTCCTCAGCACAAATGCACCTGCTCACTGACACGGGCCGCCCCAGAGGTCTCGGCGCGGTCCAAGGAGATCTGACACAGCTTCAGATTTGGCTGTTTTTCTCTTGGGAAACAGAGTAGGAGCGGGGCCCCAAGGCCTCGGAGTCAGCTGGCTGAGACGCCCTGAGTCACTCGCTGCAGTTTCTCCTGCCCCATCTGTGAAATGGGGTAATGACACCGACCTTGCCTCCCTCACAATGAGATAACAGTGAACAGAATCGGAAGCCAACTTCTGTTTTCAGATTATGGACGAAGCACTTATTATAAAGCAAGTTTATAATCATTGCTATTATTTCTTTTAGGTTGAACCACAAGAAATTGCCAACATGCAACCTTTCCTGATATTAAAAAGTGGCAATTTCACATATTCAAAATAATGATCTTTAGATGGAAAAGCACAGGGAAGAATCACTGTGGGTCATTAATTTTAAAAAAAAAGTCTACTTAGGAGAGGCACATTCTATTCCTATCATCCTAAGACTTGGAAAGATTACAGGCAACATTATTTGAGATCTGTTGTATTTATTTGTACCCTACCTCGCTCCAGACAGGGTTTAAGGCTCTGCAAAATCAGATAGCATTACCTGAAGCAAGAACAAATGAAGAAAAGTAAGGACAGGAAAAGAGTAGAGCCAGGACTGAGGCTAAAAGGGCAGAAACTAATGACCTTTTTATGTTTGGGTTCCAAATCTGGTTTTGGAAGAGCAGCTACTGATGCAACCCTGGGAGCTGTGAGATGAGATGGAAACCAGTGAAACTGTCCATGGTGCTAAGTTCAGACAGGACTTTGTCCTGGAGGTCCTCCTGAGGGAGTGTTCCTCTCAAAGACTCTGTTTTTGATCCTGAATCCAGTGGGACGGCACCTCTCACGTCAGAGATGTGAGAAGGGAGACGGGCAGGTGTTAATGGGGCAGGTGAAATCGGAGATGCTGCAGGGAAGCTCCCGCCAGCAGAGCCTTACCGGGTCAGGTCAAGGTGGCCGATGATCAGGCTCCGTCCGTTCTCCGTCTGGGCCAGCTGCAGCAGCAGGGCCAGGCTCTGCTGCCGGATGGTCGGGACCCTGGAGGCCAAGAGGGAGGGCAGCAGCTGGCCCGAGCTGGGGTGCATCACAAGCAGACGCTGGTTTTCCTCTGCAAAACACAGGGCACACTGTGCAGACTGTGACAGCAGATATACCTGTTCCCTCTCTCACCATCTCAACGGGAAACCTGACTCTTCTCCACTTGTTTGAGAGGCAGGATGATGAAGGGTAAGTGCACGGACTCCAGAACCAGACTGCTGGGTCTGCATGACCGCGAAACGACCAGGAAAAGCCAACTTATCAACCCCTGTGCTCCTCAGCTTTCTCATCAGTGGAATGAGGAAGAGGGCCAACACAACAGAGATGTCACGTGGATTAAATGAGTTACTATGTGATGGTGGGGAGATCAGGGGTTGGCACACATACGTCAGCCAGCATCATGGTTCCTGTCCATGGCTCCTTGGTGTACGGTATCCAGAAATGTGCGGACAGGGGAATAAATAAGATTAATAGTGGATAATCTTTAGACCATCAATTTTCACACAATGGCCAGAGCAACTAACTATCTGAATTCTCTCCAGAAAACTAGAATGATCCCATGAGAACATTAATTAATAAAGCACTTTCCCTTTCCTGAACTATCAGCTGTTTCCAGGGTGTTGGCATTGGATGTACCCTCAGCCCCTTTCGCCTGGTTCATTTTCCAACGAGGCATGTGAATTTGTGAATTTGTTCGACAGCAGGCAGAGGTAGAGGCTGGGGGATGAGGATAAGCTATGAAACAAAGCAGGATTTATACACACACACACACACACACACACACACAGGAAAATTAGCTCGTTGCAAACAATTCAAATAACACAAAACGTGTACACACCTGAAAATGAAAATCCCCTTCTCTGGTACCCACTCCAGGTAAGCCCATTTCCTAAGGGAGCTAGTATTCACCCTTCCTATAAATAATGTTAAAAACATGACACACCCTACCCTGTAATGCGCTTTTCTCTTCTAGCTGGTACTATATCACAGACGTATTTTCATGTCTTTACTTTTAAGCATCCCCTTGTCCTTTTAAAAAAATTTTTGTTTGTTTTTGGTTTTTGAGGGGAGAGATAATTAGGTTTGTTGGTTTTTGTTTTTAATGGAAGCACTGGGGATTGAGCCCAGGACCACATGCACTCTAAGTATGCGCTCTGCCCTCCCTAAAACCAGTTTTATATTTATTGAGTTGGATATACCAAGATTTCCCTGATCTGAGGCAAAGCATTTACATCACAGGCCGTGTCCGACAGTATTTCTCCAGATACTACAGAAAGATGCGACTCCGAAGGTTTAAAATTTCTAGAATTTAAGATGATTCCTCCACTCTGCTAAATCAAGAAAAAGAATGATATTATCTCATGTTCCGCATTTAATAGTTTACAGGCGCTCTCGCTGGCTCCCCATGGGAACCTCTGCCTTGGAGACAGCTGTCACTATCCCCATTTTCAGTTTTGTGTCCCAGTATGGATATTCTCCTAATGAAAACACATTTTTTTGTGGTTTCTGTGCCATTCAGTATATACATATTTTTAATAGAGCTACTGGGAATTGAACTCAGAACTTTATGTATGCAAGCATGTGCTGTACCACTGAGCTATACCCTCCCCCAACACATTTTTTTTAAATGTGGGAAATACTTAAAATGTTTATTTATACTGAAGTCACAAAAGCAATAAGACTGTACAAAATCTTAGTGAGCCCCAGAAGATGCTAATATGTAAAAAGGCAAGAGTTCAGGTAAATAAAATCCCCATAGCTTCTTACTGTCCCAATATGACACACTAACCAGTGTCACAAGAGGCTGGCAGGGACCATAGTAAACCTCACGCTGCTGAAATGGGTGCTGTGGCCAGAAAAAAGGAACACTATTTTTCAGCAGACAGAAAAGGAAGAACTCTGTCTGCTCCACTGGCGACGCACAAACTGAAGTCATTAGTCTGCAAAGAGCCAGGCAAGTGCCCTGGTGACGAGACCACGCATTATGCTGGCAGTGACCTTGCCCCCAGTGAAGGCAGCCGCAAGCATGCTGGACACACGGCTGCAGTGCCGTCCTTGCTTCTGATCCATTGTTTCCGGGGGAGGGTCTAGACATCCACTCTCCAGGGGCTGGCCTTCCGGGGAACAGTCGTGCTGGGCACCCCTCTCCCCTCGACCCCGCCCAGGAGCTCTCAGGTGAACAGTGCATTCATGGTGATCAGTGGTGGTTCCCAGGCTTACCGTTCTCACTGCACACGGCCTGCCAGAGCCTGAGAACAGACACACATACTGTCTCTTCCACGGCATCTTTCCCAGCTGTGGAAAAGCACCTACAAGGGGCAAGGGAGAGGCATGTTAAAACAGGAGATTAGTCGTGATCTTCTTTTCAGTTGCTTTTATTTCACCAGCAGACCCCACGAACGTGGGCTTAAGAAAGTCACTTCATCACCCAGAGCTGCAGGCCACAGGACCAAGGGACTCTAAGCACTGGACTGAGAGGTCCAGGATGAGGATGCAGGCACGGAGGGAGGGTGGTGAGCCAGGGGCAGGGCGATGGCCACATCAGGACCCATGAACTTGGCAGGCCAGCACACAGCTTAGAGTTCACGGGCCTCCTCATGCGTGTAAATGTGTGCCGGTGGCTCCAACCCACATCAGTGTCCTAAGCCTCAGGGATTGCACCAGAACAATTGAAATACAAAATAAAATTAAAATAAATTTAGCAAACTACCTTCTGCTACATGGGTCTTTCTTCAGATGGAATTATAAATGGGATCAGTCAGGACCCAGAGGATCTCATTTCCTGACACTGAGGTGGGAAGCCCCATAAAAAAGACCGGCAGGACCCCCAGGCAGGGCCACTACTCTCCTGCCAGCACCATCTGGTTCCCTGGCCCAGTGGCTTTATCTCACTTTTGCCTCTGAAAGGGCTAACTTCTAGGAAAGTAGAGCTCACTCCTGATTGGTCCATTTCCCTCACTCCTGATTGGTCCATTTGTGGTACTTCATTTGCATGGAGCTCACTCCTGATTGGTTATTTCCCTCACTCCTGATTGGTCCATTTCTACAAAGCCTGTTCCTAATTAGTCAACTTTTGTTACACCTTATTTGCATATGATGTTGCAAAGTGTAAACTGGCAGCCTATAAAGGCCTGTGTAAACCCACAGACCGGGTCCAGAGCTTGGAGTGCTAACTTCTCTGGGCCTGCCAGCTTAATAAAGCTGAGTTCTCCAACCCTCCAAGTGCTGCTTGGTCTCTCGCCCAGATCCAGGTTGCAGTCACAACTGAGCTGTAACACTGAGCTGTAACATGTTTTTCTGCAACAACACTATCAACCAATTCCCAAAGAGGAAAAGAGCAAAGAGCAATCTTGCAAAGACTGGTGGGAAACCAGCAAGAATGGTGATTTCTCTGACTCTGAAGTGCTTGGAGGAACCCTGGGAAGTTTTGCTCACTTTCCTCTCTCTTTCATTGTTTTCTGTGGCTTAAGTCAAACCACCGGAAACTCAGAGCTCAAGGGGTGCTCACATAGCACCGGTATTGATTGAAGGTGGTACCATCCAGTGAGGTCACTGCCAGTGTGATTAGTGTCCAATTTCACAAGAAATGGCTCTCTTTCCTCGCTTTGATGCTGGGCTGTCTTTACAAACATCCCTACCTTCTTAGGACCTCATTCTCACTGATGATACGGAATCCATTGTGTGTTCTGAATAAAGTTCGTTCGGTGGCTGAAACAAATTCAGAGAAAACCATGTCAGACTCCTGAACCATCTGGCTGATGTGTAGCTGAGGCAGAGCCAGATGATGAGGAGAAATCCAAAATGGAATGTCAAGGTCACCGAATTAACAGTTTGGGCAGAAACAAATACTTTCACATTCTGTCATCAGCTGCTTGTTACCACAGTGAGAGGCACAGTTTGTTGAGAGGAGAGCTGAGCCCAGGTGGCCCGTGAGCTATCTGACGACTGATCATTTTGTAATCTTTAGAGAGCCGCCAGGAGCCGCTCAGCCTCCTGCAAGGACTGGCATAGCCATCTGCTCTTAAATGTTTATCTCGGAGCTGTTTCCAGGCTTGAGAGAAGAACCTACAATCGCCAAAGAACTACTGAAGGGGTGTTTGAGCATGCTCCACTGCACGCTAAAGGGAAGTCAGAGACTCCATCCACTTGCACAAACAAACAACATTCTGTCACTGAGTAACAAGGATGGTTTCAGCCCTGGTATCAGTGCTTACAGGAAATGGTAAGAGAACAGTGTGGCTCTCGCTAGCAGGAGAGCTGATGTTTGTTCTGAAACTATGCACACATCCTAAGCGGCCATTAAGTGTAACTGCAGTGAACTTTACAGTTTATCCTACAAAATTCTGTCTTCCATTCCCCTCTGGTTGGGGGAGATTTGTGGGGGGTAGTAGTGGGCATTTGGGGTGTATATGGGGGTATGCAAAGGGTATGTATGTACAGGATGTGTGTGAGGGATGAATGTGTGTGGTGTGTGTATATGTGTATCAGTATATATGGTGTATGTGGCCCACATGCGTGGTGTGTGTGTGTGATGTACGGGACCAAAGTACACATGATGTGAGCACATGCTGTGTGTGTGTGTGTGTGCGTGTGTGTATGATGTGAGCATTTATGGAGTGAGTGCATGCCGTCTGTCCGTGTGTTTTGTGTCGAATTGTGTGTGTGTCAAGTGTAAGCACGCTCTGGGGAGAGGATGGAGCCAAGTCGGGGGACATTTCTTTAGCACGTCCTCTAGCACCTACATTGTAGTAGGTCTTCAATCAATATTTGTGGAAGGAAGGGAAAAAGGGATTCTTTGCCTCATAAGGGTAGACCTCTAAACTCTGTCCCTTTACACTGACAATATTCATGAGATCACACACATCTCTGGCTTACAGTCCTTCATCATTTCAGTCAGGACTTCAATCCCCCCTGCATAGAACAGGGGGATCTGATCAGGCTTGGAAAGAGTCTCCAGGAGATTCTTGGCTGTGACGGCTGTGTTCTTTCCCGAATCCAGCGATTCCTGGGCTTCCTTCTCTTGAAGGTCTGCCTTCTCCTGAAGATTTACCTGATTCAGGTAATCTAGCAAAACAAGAAGCAGAGTCCACAAAAACCCTAACACATCCACACAAGGAGTAACCTTTTTTTTTTTTTTTAACGATGAGAGGTTGAGAGGCAGAAACCATTAAAATCATTCAAACTCATCTTCAGCAAGGAAAATTTTAGGGAGATTGTACAGTATCTACCCAGCATCTTAGACCGTCTTGGGGTTTCAAGGACAACACAGTTCCCAGTCTAGACGGCTCTGATGGAGGATGGCAGAGAAAAGGAGGAAGGCAGGGCGGGTAAGGAGAGGGTTTGGTTGTGCAGGGCTATGCAAGGTTATGCCTGTGGCCACATGCAGAGAAGGCATGGAGGGCACCCAGGGCCAGAGCGCAGAAAGGAGGTGCAATTCAAACAAGGGTGTTGGCAGGAAGTCTCACCTTTCACCTGTGTCTGCAGCTGGGGGTTTATTTCTAAGATCTTCTGATAACACTCCCGAGACTGGAAGAAAGAAACAAGGCCTTGAAGAGTGGCTGGGGGGAGTGGTGATTATAAGAAAGGATGGCCTTCTTCATTATTTCCTCCCAGCCTCCCCTGCTTCCCGTGGAGGAGGTGGGCATGGGGAACACAGCGTGCACTTGACATTCTGTTTCAGGCTTCTCTGGTTCTGTGAGGGCAACGGGTATTGTCTCAAAATTTATTTTAAAAACCAGTGTCAGATACAACCTGTGATGGAAAATAGCCAGTCATAAGTGCTTGTGGCTCATGTCTGGCTGAGTTAGGAATAATCACAAGGTAAATGCAAAATTCAGGTATGATATTTGCACTGAGAGGGAACAGGAGGCTACCTGTCAGATATGCCCACGGGGAAGAAGGAAATAATTGAAGCTAGGAACATTGCTGACAGAGACTTGGGGACTGGAAGAGAGAATGACCTATTTAATGTACAGGCTGCAAAGAGCTGGTGAGGAGTCTGTTCACTGGCCATGCAAGAGTCAACTAGAACACCTGAGAGTCAGGGGCACTCAGTAAGGACACCGTTAGATAGAAGTTTCTAGTAAGGAAGCATTCTCGTTAGTGGGGCGTGATGCTGGGTTGAAGGCTGTCCTGTCCTCAGGGATATCAATACAACCAGCCACTGAAAGAAAAAGTTCAGGAAAATAAAAAAAAGGTTCTGAGATATTGTGAAGGCTTAAGGCTCAGAAGATTAGGATTAAGAAATAAACTGGAGAAAAAATATCACGTTAAAACAGAGAATAGTGTTGTAGGATAGACGTATACACATCAAACATGGTAACTTTAATACACTGAATGTTTGTGTCCTTCCAAAATTCATATGATGAAACCTAACCCCAATGACGTATATTTAGGGATCCGGAAGGATTTTGTCTTGTTTGCTACTATATTCCTGTCGCTTAGGCCGGTGCCTGGAAGATAGGAAGCGTGCATTAAATATTTGCTGCATGAATTAATTAACTGAATGAATAAATGAGTAGACAGAATTTGGTGGAGGGGGGAGATTACAGTGTCCTTTTAACTTTTCTATTATTTGACACTATTATAATGCACCTGTATTAATTTTAGAATTAAAATCCAATAAAGAATAATTTTTAAGAATGTACAATGGGGGCAATTTCTTTTTAAAAATATACTATCTTATACATGGAATGACATCTCACGTTCATGGATTGGAAGCCTTAATATTCTTCATTTGGCAATACTCCCAAAATTGATCTACAAAGTCAACATGATGCCCATCAAAATACCATTTGGCTTCTTTGCAGAAACTGACAAAGCTGATCCTGTAATTTGTATGGTAATTCCAGAAATCCAGAATAGCTAAAACCATCTTGAAAAGGCAGATCAGAGTTAGAAGACTCACACTTCCCAATTTCAAAAGTTACTACAAAGCTACAAGAATCAAGACAATGTGGCAAAGGTTTAAGAATAGACATACAGATAAATGGAATAAAACTGACAGCCAGAAATAAACCCAAGCATTCATGATCAATGACCTTTGACAAGGGTGCCCAAATCATTCAGTGGGAGACAGAGTAGCCTTCTCAACAAATGCTGCTGGGACAACTGATGCCCACACGCAAAAGAATGCAGTTGGATCCCTTCCTCACACTATATACAAAAATTAACTCAAAGTGGATCAGAGTTCTCAATGTAAGAGCTAAGGCCAATAACTTTTAGGAGAACATAGGAGTAAATCTTGGATTAGGCAACGGTTTCTTAGATTTGACACCAAAATTGTAAGCAACCAAAGGAAAAAAAATAGGTAATTTAAACATCATCAAAATTAAAATGTTTTGTGCCATGAAATGAAAAGACAACACAAAGAATGGGAGAAAATATTTGCATATCATTTATCCATTAAGAGATTTCTATTCAGAACTTACATTGAATATTATATTACTTTATATATATTATATTTGTATCACTTTATATTGAATATTTGTATATTCAATTTATATTCTATTGAATGTATTTATGCTCAATATAAAAAGACAAATAACCTAATGAAAACAAAATGGGCAAAGGGTCTGAAAACACATTTCTCCAAAGAAGATACACAAATGGCCAATAAGTACTTGAAAAGATTCTCAACATCATTAGCCATCAGGGAAATGTAAATCAAAACAATAAATACACTACTTTACACCCAGCAGGATGCCTATAAGTCAAAAAGACAAATAAAAGCAAGTACTGTCCAGGATGCGGAGAAATTGAAACCATGCACTGCTGGTGGGAATGCAAGTTGGTGCAGCCACTTTGGAAAACATACTGGCAGTTCTTCCAAAGGTTAAACACAGAGTTGTCACACGACTGGGCAGTTTCACTCCTTGATATATAGCCAGGTGGATTGCGAACATGTGTCCCCACAAAACTTGTATATGGATGTTCATAATAGCCCAAAGTGGAAACAACCCAAATGTTCATCAAGTGACAAATAAATCAATAAAATGTGGTATACGCATACAAGGAAATATTGTTCAGGAATAAAAGATACGAAACACTATACGTATACAACACGGATGAAACTTGCAAACATGATGCTAAGTGAAAGAAGCTAGTCACGAAAAACCAGATTGTATAATCCTATTTATATGAATAGCCTAGAACAGGCAAACATATAGAGACAGGAGTAGGTTAGTGGTGGCCTAGGGATGAGGTGGGGTGGAGGGAAGGGGAGCGACTGCTTAGTGGGAAAGGTGTTTTTAAGGAGGTGACAAAAATGTTCTCAAGCTGATTGTGGTGAAGGTTATGCAACTCTGCGACTATACTAAAAGCCACTGAACTGTATACTTTCTATAGAGGAATTGTTTGGTATGTGAATTATATCTCAATAAAGCGGCTATTTACAGCATGTAATATATTAGTGTGTGTACATATATCTGCATGGTTAATTTAGGTGATGAGATTACAAGTTAATTTTGTTTTTTCATCTTTTTGCTTATGTCTTTTCTCCCCAGAGATGCTCCTTCTGGGGCTGAACAAACACTGGTAGAAGATGCTGCAGAAGAGATTCCCATGGCAGGTGGGGCTGTACCAGGTGACACTCAACATCCCTCCCAACTCTAAGGTCTTAAGATTCACCCTGGAAGACACTAAAAACTGGATTAATATCCACTTAGAGGAACGTGGTTCTCCTCTGAGACACTCTATAGCACCACTCTGAAATCAAACAGGTCACTTAACCTTCCTCCACTTACCACACTGTAGTTCTTCAGGGCCAGGTGGGCTTTTCCCATGTGGAAATATGCTTTTGTGCATTTTTCATCACACTGCATGAAAGAGAATGACTGATCAGATGGTTCGGAAGATTTGACGTTATCAGCCCCTCCCCCAACCTCCCAGCTAATCGGGTTAGGGCACTGCTTCGGTTCTCAGGACCACCACCAGAGTTGACAATTAAGACTTTTCTGTGCTTCTGTGACTGAATTAGTTGATGCCTACAAGGAGCCTGAATGCAGAAGTAAGCTCTCTATCAAACTAATCAATGATATTTGCCAGTTTTCATTTCCATTTAATGAGACAACCAGGAAACAAACCAGAAACCCTTAGTTTACAAGAGCCCTTGACCTTGGCTGAACATCAGAATCACCTCAGATGCTCATAAAACTCCTGATGGCATGACTAAACCCCACACCAGTTAAATTACTCTCTTGGGTTGGCCCGGGGCATCAGTAATTGTTTTTAATCTCCAGGTTACATAAATGCGCAGCCACATTTGAGAACCACCAGTTTGTCAGGTAAGGTAGGAAAATTCATTCTGGGCCTGGGAAGTTCCTCCCTTGAAATAAACCACAACATAGATACTGGGAACTTACATTCCTATCACTTCTGATCAGGAGGGACGCCCTCTTCAAAACTTAGGACATTCACGGCTGAGACAATACCACTTGCATGGGGTGCCATGCACCTGCCTGCCTCTAATTATTATAACTCCAGAGGAGTGGTCTAGCCCAAAGACATAAACTATAATTTTAAACAGTCATCTAATTCACTGAATCCCTCTTACATGCAGGGCGTTGTGCCGCGTTGGATGCTGTCAAGGGTTTAGATGTAAAGAGGTTACGAGTACAAGGTCAGGGGTCTGGAAAGTCCTAGGTGAAGCCGGGTCTGCCTCTCACCGGATGTGGGACGTTGGCCAGGCCAGGCAGCTTTTCTGAGGCTCATTTCCCTCATATGCAAAGTGAAGGTCTTAATAGTGTCTCTCTCGGGCTGTGCTGAGAAGGGAATTCATGTGAAACCGTGTGGCACCAGGTAATGGAGCATAAGCCACTGTTGCTGCAGTTACAGCAGACGTGGTGCATCTCAGGGCAGAAAGGAAAACTTAAAGAAAAGCTAAAATAACAACAGAAGAGGGAATAATAACTTATATTTGGAGAGGCCTTTATGGATGCATTTTCATGAATGTCATATCCTGATTCGTTGCTAAGTGAAAGCCAGCACTAACAGTCGTTAATATCAGTGCATTACTGTTCAGTCCTTCCTGCATGGGTAATAGGAATTATCTCATGGAAACCTTATAACAACTCTAGATACAATTATTACCCACATTTTGCAGCTGAGGAAACTAGGGGCTGGAAAAGATCAAGGTCACACAGATACTAAGTGGAAGACCTGGGATTGAAATCTAGTTGTTTGACTCCAGGCTCCAAGGGCTTAAAAACTGCACCATATCTCCTTCAGAAAAGCAGTTTGGCGGAAGGAAATCCACACTGAAGAGATACAGTCTACTGAAGACATGCTGTGTTTCGGAGGATGCCAAGACAGCCACGTGCAAACGTGCAGGGGGTTGAGGGGGCGGCTGAAATGCAGATGTGAACCACTGGCAGGGATGAGAGCTGAACCCAGGAGAGGAGACGAGAGCTCTGAGGGAGAAACTGCAGAGAGAAGAAAGTCAGGGAGTGAAGCCTGGAGAACTCACAAAGGATGGAATCGAGGAGGCAGGAAGGGACAAAGGGAAAGGAACCCCCAGGGCCACAGTTCACGGAAGCCACCTGTTCACCGCACCTTCACGGCCAGGGCCTCAGGGCTACAACAGAGGAAAAGGAGCCGAACCTCAGAGCTTGTCCACGCCCCACTGTGCCATCGTGAAGCGGGTGTATTGTGACCACGCCTCCTCGGATACTGACACAAAGAGCTGCTAACGGATTTGCTCACTAATAGGCCCTTTCTCCTTTGATGAGGTATCAACCCTCATCAGGATTCTCTCAGGTGAACCCAGATCCCCGTAAAAGGAAGTCTGCCTTCAGAGGAAGATGTGTTTTATTGTGCAGGAAGTGTTCTGCCATGAAAGAAATGATTCTGATCCTAATTGAAACCAGCTCCGCTCGCTGCCTTATCTTCCCTGACAAGGAAGATCGGTCTTGAAATATCATCACAGGGGCCTGTCTCTGCCAATTCACAAGTGTCCCAAAATATAAAACTGGCATGAAAGTACTAATACTATTAACAGTGGGGTGCCGCTGACATTCAGTATTGATATATTACTTTAAAAAAGAGTGAAACTTTTTCTTTTAATTCACAGCTTTGATGTAGAGCCAACTATTGTTAGTTTTTAGAATTCCTTGTGCATATTTTTCCCATCCCTCCAAGTGTTTACCCAATCCCCTTCAACGGGGAGCCTCGCTGGGCATTTAATAAGAGTGGCTCCCGGGTGTCAGCGTTTTTCAGTGTCAAGTCTGCTGGGCCCGCTTTGTCTCGGTCTCACTGCTAATTTACATCGTGTATCAATTAACATTTGGGAGCAGGTCAGTGTGTTGTCCTGAAACAGCGTGTGGGTGTGACGACCTCTTTGGTGCTTTTCAGATCAGAAGAGGCACTCCTGGAAGCCCCACGAGGAGATCTTGTTTCTTCCACAGAAGGAATGGGATCTATACCAAGCGATGTCAGGGTTTCAGGTTTCCAGGGAGAGGCTGTTTATCATAAATGGCTCAGAGCACCGGCCTATGGTTAGGCCAGCATTAGCTGTGTGATCCTGCACGGCTTACTTACTTAATCTCTGAGGCTCGGTTTCCTTGTCAGAAAAATAAGGGTAACTGTGATATTGAACAGAACAGAATAGGATGTTGTGAGGCCCAAATGAGACAGATCACAGCTAGCGTGCAGTAAATGGCTGTTACTGAATCACCAGAAGAAAACGTCCTTCCCTCTCTCTTCTCTTACAGAATGATAGTAGGGAAAAAAAATCATGATCAAATAAAGGGTCAGAGCAAGCTAGCAGATCTATACTGGAGCCGGAGTGTGAAGAACCCGATGGCCTCAGCTTTGGGCGGTTCTCATCACTTAAAGACGGTCACGATGCAGTGGGACAAGGTTTCCCATACACCGTGTCTTCCAGCAGATAAAGAAATCAAGCACTCCAGGTGCCAGGTTTGGGGGACCCGTCGTGTTTTATAAACCGTTATTAGCAAAGGTGAGTTTCTAATTCGCCCATTTCCCTTGTCTACCCTCTCAGTGAAAAGATAAGGAAGCAGGTGTGGCCAACATGCTGTTGTCAAAATGTGCTCTGTTTCGGGCCATGCTCACCAAGTCGGGGTTAAGTGGTGCCGGACCAGGGAAATCCACGCCGCAGGATAAACCTGGCAGGTGCTCCTGGCACTTCAATTTTACTTGATTATAAATTATTTAACATAACATGGCTATATTAAAACAAGCTGATACATTTTACAGAGTGCAGTGCAAAATTTGCAAGGGATTTCTAAGACAAAAACATGTGTCTAAAAAGAAATTTCATGCTCTCTGCTTCCATACCTTCCAGGGGCTCCTGTGTGTTCTGTTGGCTCTTCAGCCTGAGAGGCACTGGTTCAGCTTATTTAGTTAAAGCCCCTGCGACAGAGTAACTTAGGCGGAGCGAGGATCAGCATTATTTAAATATTTAGTCGTCAGAAATAATGTTCTTAAGAAGTGACTGTGACACGTCTCTTTTAAAAACTCGGCTAATATTTCCACCAACGGTCTTTAGTTCTCTCCACCTTTGATTATCCGTTTTGGCAGATTTCGGTGGAAATACCACGCCGAGTGAGTGTTATACTGTCTGCCTGAGGCCTGACAAGCATCCAGGCTGAACAACAGGAAATCTTTCTTCTGATTATTCCTCTACAGAAGGGGGAGCTGTGATGTGTTTCCAAACTATCAGAGTGGGAGGGAAAAAAGCAGCAACTGATGAGGGAAAAAATGGCAACACTGCAGACACAATTAAGAAAGAGAAAGAGGCGTTTCCACCACCACGTGGAGCAAAGCGACTAATAACATAATAGTAAAGGGTGAGCTGCTGTGATAAAACCTGAAAAACCAGTATTAACAGCAACTTGTCTAGAGTACTAACAGTGAGCTAAGCACCGTGTGCGTTATTACAACCCTCATGACAATTCTATTCGAATCCATTTTATAGATGAGGAAACTGAGGCTCAACTGCAGAGCCTAGACCCTTTCCCACTGTAATATGCCAGCAGCTCCCCTCTGTTCACTTCAGGACTGAGGCCCCTGGCCTGAGCAAGCCCAGCTCCAGCACATGGAGAAGGAGATAGCATCTTACCTTCAGAGCCCAGTCACAGTCCACCAGTGCCTTCTGGTAGTCCCCAAGTTTGATGTAAGCCTGCAAGGACACAGACGGCTGCTGTTCATACACAGTTCCGTGGCCAGAGGTCTTCATTCAACACAGACAGAGCAGGGGAACAGGAACATGGTGATGAGAGGTAACTGGTCCTTCCCTGGCTCAGCCAGGGTCCCAGCTCAGGACACGCTCACACTGGGGAGCCACGGAAAGCTTAACAAAAGGATGATTTACAGGGTGAGGGCAGGGCATAGGAAAACCAACAGTGAACAGCTGCCTAACAGGAGCTGAGGCCTTCGGGAGAGCGGAAGCCTGGAGAATAAACCACCCCCCATCTCACTTAACTCCTCCTTCCTTCCGATCTCATTGGCTGAACCCAAACAGAAGCTAGAAAGCTGGGAAGCCAAGAGGCCAGTCTCCCAGGGTGCAAGGCAGAGAAGGATCTGGAGGGGCAAACAGAATAATACCCAGCACGCTAACCCCACCTACAAAGGAGGAGCCAGCTTCTGGAGCCTACCCTGCTGGGAATGTTCCAGAAGGAGAACAAATAATAAAGGGAATCAAAAAGACAGATAATAACAAGTGTTGGTGAGAATGTAGGAAATCAGGACACTCTTACGCTTGCTGCTGGGAATGTAAAATGATGAAGCTGTTTTGGAAGACAGTCTGACGCTTCCTCAAAAGATTCGAAACAGAGGTACCGCATGACCCCTAGGTACACAGCCAAGAGGATTATAAGCGTATGTCCACTCAAAAACCTGCACACGCATGTGCATAGCAGCGTTACTTATAACAGCCAAAAAGCAGTAGCTCAGACCCATCCATTTATGAATGCGTAAATAAACTGTGGTAGATCCATACAATGACATATTTCTTGGCAATGACAGGAATGAATTACTGATGCAAATTCCAACAGGGACGGGCCTTGAAAACACTATTAAATGGAAGAAGCCAGACACACATGGACACATACTGCATGATTTCATTTATATGAAAAGTCCCGAATAGGCAAATGTATAGAAACAGAAAGTAGACCAGTAGGGGCCATGGGTTGGCGGTGGAGGGGGGACAGGATTGGGGAGTGACTGCTTAAAGGGTCTTAGGGATGATGAACCAGTTCTAAAATTGGTGTGGTGAGGGTTGCACAGCCCTGTGAATACACTAAAACCCACCAAATTGTATACTTTCAATGGGTGAATTGTATATTGTGTCCATTATATCTCAATAAAGCTTTTGCCAAAATATGATTAAGGAAAAGTTCTGCTTTGCACTTTCTGAGTGCAGTGAGAAGGAAGAGAGACAGGAAACGGGCAGACATTTAAGATTCAGACCATCACCCTTGGTTTCAAATGCCTTCGGGCTCTCTTCTGGGATCTCCTAGAACTGGGGAAAATCTTGTAAATCAAGAATTAACTCAGAATTCTGTGATCTACTCAAACCAACCTGACTTAAGAATTTAGCTCACTTATAGTTTCATAGAACCATGGTATATAAACAAATGAAAGTCTATTTAACAGCAAGCACTATGGTTACTATGCCCTCTCTAGTCATCACTGCATACAATAAGTGCTTAATAAATTCTTATCAAGTTGCGCTAAGCAGACTTTAAGCACTCTTCTTTTGGAAAGTTCCCTGAGAAGCAGCAATGATCACCCTGTTGTAAGAAAGGACAACCAGGCACCAGGGACCCATCAGTCACTGATGACAGATCCAATGCCAATACTCCACGTACGTTTGCCCATGATCAACACTGTCCCAGGGCACTGTGATGAGAAATCTGATGAGATATTTACATGGACAAGCCCATTATGAGGTTACTGTTATAATTTATGAGAAATCTAAGCATTCAACCAAAATGAGGAGGGAGCAGGCAATATCCAGCTAGGGAACTTCTGCCAGGGAGCTCTATCCACCAGCAAAAAGGAAGCCGCTGTGCAGAGCTTTCATTAACAGGAGTTCGGTACTAAATGAAGATGACGACTCTTTGAGTTATCTCTTCCATAAAGCACCATCTTTTCCTCCGGGATTTGGGGGGTTCATTTGAAAGACAGAGGATGTGACTAGCACCCTTCTGGACAACCGTAGTCATGATTTCATGACACTGTTACTCAGGATACAGACTCTGAAAAAGTCTAGAAGGGCTTCAACAATTTCTCCACGCAGGCTTTCGTATTTTCTTTTTCTTTTTTTAAGGCTTAGATCCAATACCCTATAACTTCCCTGTTCTCTTTTGTTTTTCCATACTTTAAAAAGGACTACGTTCCCAAATGGTGATTAAACTCCTGACTTGTCTAAATTACACCAGTAATCTATTGATCATAACATTAGCTCCAGGAGAAAAACAAAGCGATGGAAGTGCAGGTTTTCTCTCCAGGAAGCAGCGACACTCCATTCACAGGGTTCCTACTGAGTATTTTGTAACACTGCATGCAAACAGGGAGGCATTTAAAACACAGTCTATGGTTCAAAGGGATTCCTAACGCCAGGCAGCACATTTTGTAACCATTTGTCTCTGAGTAAGTGTTCTCTTTGGGGGAGGTGGGAGGAATTGCCTCCCCAAAGCTTTTCATCCCATTTACTTATTTTCATCCACAGTCATTCTTGATGTGAGTCTCCCAAACTAATCAAAGTGCTGCTTCAACTTGAGAACAGTAAAAATGCAACTAATTTAGATGAACCAGGGTGTAGACCATCGGAATTAGGTATAAATCTGAATTACATAACATTTTAAAGGCAATTCAATTTCACTGCTTTCAAATAACTTCAGAGTAACAAGACTGAACAAGCATCAGTAGGTAAATGTTTTGGAGACCAAATTTGGTGATAAATAAAAAGCAACTATAATTATTATACTAATTGTCTGCATTTAAATGTCTCCTTTGAAGTGTCAACAGAAACTTAATTCCCTTCAATGGACTTAGTGTGCCTCCGGTGCTACACAACTTAACAAGGACTTACTGAACATCTGTTGTAACTAAAGCATTGGGGGAAAGTATATGGCAATTTTTACCCTAAGAAAGTTTTTAATCTTGTTAAGATGATAAAGGGTACATGGCAAAATTGACCTCTCACCAATGTGTCTACTGATCCTCTTACTTATGGCAATTTTTCTCCACAAAGGGGCTAGGTAAATGACACCTCGACTCTAGTCTGATTGATCCAAACTGCTGAACTAATGATCTTGTGCTGTGCTTGAATTTATTTATCATTAAATCACTGTCACCACATAGACTTTTTGGCCTGCTGACATCCTGTTTCTTGCTTTCAATACTTCCTCAACATACCAAGGCAGGGCATTCTTAATCTTGAGTTACAGAATTTGGAGCTGATGAGGGCTCCGTTGCGATCTTCTCCCTCTTGTCAATGACACGGTGTCAAGTCCATCTCACACAGGTCTGGCTGACGCATCCTGACCGTCGGATCATCACATCCATGAATCTGCCAATTTTTCCAGCCTGAGCTACAGAGAGCTCTACCGTATACAAACTCAAGTACTTTGCAAAGATAAGGTCACAGGTGACATTGCTGTTTCCACTGAGAACCATCAACCTTGTCCCTTCTTTAAATAGTAGACAATAAACATCCGGGGGATGGTTTTCACCTGGTGTTCCAGGAGACTGAGCTCGTCTGTGGTATCAAATTGAGGTATTAGGGATTTCAGAAAGTCAGAATTTCTGACAAATTGGCTGGAGGCCCATTAGCTATCCAGGATACCCCAGTCACAGAATCTTAATCAAGGAGGGACTGATACAATGAGTAAGAAATTAACGGGAGAGTAACGCTTAGTTTAGACAGGCATCAAAAAAGAGGTTGAACACATCCAGTGGCGGCAGAATTCCACTAGTCCCCTTAATACACATGGGAAGTGCCTGGGTACCACCAGTGCTGTGCTGACTTCTGCAATGGAGAGAACTGATCATGCGTGGCTGTCCCCAAGCCCTCCTTCAATGATTCCAAGTCGGTAGCTGAAATCGGACCCCAGTGAGAGTATTTACGCCACAGAAATTGGCAAACGCTCCATACAAGTCAGCCTCCCCCACACCCCGGCCAGAGCCAGCACACACCTCTGGTACCATCTCGTCTCATCGGTCTCTGATTTCGCAAGGTTTGAGCCTACGGTTCCCCAAGAGAAGCCCGTGGACGTGTTCTTGGCTCACTGACCTGGGCTCGGTTGGTATACAACACTTTCATGTCCTTCAGTTTCTCCAAACCCTCACTGTAGCGCAAGATGGCCGTTTCGTAATCACCTCTGACAAATGCTTCATTCCCCTTCTCTTTGAGGGCTAGGAGAACAGAATTTATACTGGTGAGCGCTCCCCATGCCCTGGAAAACTCTTTCAGACTTTATTACCCTGACTTTCCAACCCTGCTTTGAAAGTCAGAGCTTCCGTCCATCCTGGGGGGGTTAGGGGTGTCACTTACTTCCCTCTACAGATATTTCAGGATTGGTTTCTCTAAGTAGTCTTTTCTCCAAATCCACCCCAAGCTTTCTAAGTAGCTTCTTAGAAGAAAGGACATGATTTTACCCCAAGGCTCAGAATATTCCAAGCTTGCCATGAAGATCAAGTCTACACATTCAATGTCTCATAAAGAGGGTCAAACAACTAATTTTCTAGCAAATATGGAAGCATTCAGATTTGTAGTGCACGTACCACTGGGTGGTATAAAGTAAGTGCTGAAGGCAGCCTTCTGTCCTGTGAATCTCCCCCACCAAACACGCAACCCTGTCTCTTTCTTTTTCTCTATTTCTCTTCTCCCAGCTTTGTTTATTGCTTCATTTTTCTTTTTCACATCTTCGTCTGTGCCTCAGGCTAGCCAGTGGTACCCCACTCCCATCCTTCCTTCCTTTCCAAGGATCGTTTAGTGCTGCTCAATCTGATCTGCTAAATCCATCCACATGCTTTAGAAAGAGGTTTGACTGTGGGAGCTGACTGAGGGCTATGTCTTCCTGCTCACTGCGTGTTGCAGCGGGAACAGGGAATAGACAGCCAGTGGTTCCTGCCTGGCCAGGTCCCACTGCCTCAGGCCCACAAACCCACCCCCCCCGGGGATCTAGACATCGTCAAACATCAGCACAGAGACTCTGAGGCTCTTCCAGCACAAAGCATCCCAGTTATTGGAAAGTGAAGACTGACAATTACCGTCTGCTAAGACTTTGTTTTCCCTTCTTCTTTTGGCACGTTCCTTTGCATCCTTCTCCATAGATGCCAAGAAGGCCTCTGACAACAGAGTAATTTCAAATATTAAAAAGGAAAATCTAAATACTATAATCAGTCCTTTAGCTCAAATTCAGGGGGAAAAAAAGCCACTTGAGAGTTTTAGAGCCACACTTTTAATGCATACACATGTCGGCACATGCTAGCACATGTGTACACACACACACACACACACATACACACACAGATTCGAAGGCACCTAAAATGACATTTTCTTAATTTGACATTAAATGGTAAGCTGTGTGATATATTATTATACGCGATGACTATGTCTGTGCTTCAAATTTGAATTATGCCTTTTAAAAGGAGTTTTCTTTGAAGACAGACTTTTTTTGTTCCACTTAGCATAATGAGCTTCTGAGCTGAGCAACAAAGAAACTGCCTGCATCTCTCTGAGCAGCGGAGGGTAACTGGATGACACAGAGTAACTGAATTCAGTTTACAAAAGGCTGGCCAGGAGGGCAGAGACAAAAACCTCCCCGTGCTGTCCCTTCTGACCACTAGTACCAGCAGTGGGTGATCAGTAGGTAGTTTTTTGTTCATGGGCTGTTTGTAAGCCCAGAGGCTACAATTTAAGGGTCTGGATGCTACAATCAATAAACACTGATCCTAAATGAGTAATACACTTCAGGAAGAGAGATGCTCTCCTTACCTGAGTTTGTTTCATCTGCATTCTGCAGGGCACAGGTTATCATAAAAAAACAAAGAAACAAATTTCAAAAATCACTCTCTGATGTATATATAGACACAAACCAAGAAAGCAGATCAGTTACAAGTGGGCAGCAGGGTCATTTCCTGTAACCACCCTCACGAAGGGATCAAAATTCAGGGGGCTTGCTTTAAATCAGATCTGATTATCGGCACAATTGTTCCGGGGCTATGTCTGCAGAAGCAAGGACCCCAGCTGTGGCTGTATGAGTTGGAAATATGAGTAAGTAGAATACATTACCTTATCAGCTTAAAAATGGCCACAAGCACAGTGGATGGAGAGGCCAAATTTTCATTAAAACAAACCCAAAGGGTTGTTTAAAGATGACCCAGAAAGACCAAGAAAAAAAAACTTGAGTTTATACTTCCTTGCGGAAAATAAATCTAGTGAATCTAAAAAGCAAAAGACAATTCCAGCCTCACCAGGCAGTTGAGATTAAACTACCACTTTGCCTGCTTCAGTGCAGACGTCCTCACTGTGTCTACTTAAGTATCTCCACAACAGGAAAAGGAAACCTTCGCAGGAGCCTGTGGGGGGCTGATCCTGGTCTTGTTGACGGTGGTCCTGCATTCATCCTCCTCTTGGTTTTCCTCTGTAAACTGTAGTCTCTTCTCTGTCTCCAGGACAGCTTTCTCTCGTACGACTGGGTCATCAGAATTCATCTCCTGAATTAAACTGGCTGGAGGAGGAATCAGATGTGGATCAGTTAAGCAGGGTCTTCCAAAAGAAAGATGCCACTCACTCAAAGAGATGGTGTAGAAAGTTCATGGGGAAGAACTTTTATTTTTCCAGCTTTACTGGGATATAATTGACATATGATATTGTGGAAGTTTAAGGTATAAAACAGGATGTTTTGATATTCAGTTTTTTTATGTGTGGTGAGAACATTTAAGATCTACTCTCTTAGCAACTTGAAAGTGTATAATATAGTAGTGTTAACTAGAGTCACCATGCTGTATGTTAGAACCCCAGAATTTATTCATCTTAAAACTGTAAGCTTATACACTTTGACCAACATCTCCTCATTTCTTTTTTAAAAGTTTTATTTATTTAAACTTTAAAAAATTGAAGTCGAGTTGATTTACAATGTCTCAGGTGTACAACAAAGTGATTCAGTTATATAGAGAGAGTGTGAACTCTCAGGGTGCGTGTGTTGGGTGGGTACCAGAAGCAGTCTGCTGCTCAAGTGTGAGGGAGGGAGAGGCGAGAGGTAAGGGCTAGGTCATGGGAGGACTTAGGTCCTGATGAGAGCTTGAAATTTATTGTGACTGCGGAGAGACTCCAAGCAGAGAAGTGTCTGGGTCAGATTTGCATTTTAGATACATTACTCTGCGGGAAGTGTAAGCCTGGGGGCAGGAAAAACAATCAGTGGGTAGAGGAAATAGTCTGGAGAAGAGAACCAGAACACAGGGAGGCTGGAGAGGATGGAGCTGGAGGAAGAAGGCTAACCTGATGGCTGATTAAATGCAGGCCTGAGAGATAGGAGGAGGCCAATAGGACTTGTAAACTTCAGGGATGGGAGTGCCACCAAGTGACACTAGAATGAAGGGGAGGGTAGGAGAAGCAGGTTTTATTTGGGAGAGGTGGGACGGAGGGGAAAGAGATGATCGACTGAACTTTGGACATGTTTGTGATGTTTGAGGGGTACAATGGATGTGACAGTTGGCATAGAGGCTGAGGCTCAGAGAAGAAGGCTGGTGGCAATTGAGATGTGGGGTCATCAGCAAGGGTGGTATTTAAAAGCACATGCTTGGGCTCCATCACCTGAAGAGAAAGGTGAGCAGTGGGTCAGGCCAGGACTCCACGGAACAACATCTGGGGATGGGCAGAAGAGAGGCCGTGACAGACACAAAGAGCACACTGTGGATGTGTCATCTGTGAAGCTACTCGAACTATTTTCAAAACCATTTTATTCTTGGGATCCCTATTGCCCACTGGAAGCAGCAATTTCAATCTATTTCTATTTGATATGTGAAGTTTGTTTCGTGGTTGGTTTTCTTGTTTCTGTCCTCAAACGAGCTCCCTGAAGTCTGCACAGGGACTGAGTGCTCTGCAATCTCCTGTATATGATCTGTGTGATCAGAGTATGTCCTTTGAGGTGGCATCTGTCTGAGCTGGGGAAGGGTCTTCTTGCCTAGAGGAAGAGAGACAGGGCTGTCGCATCCATGTGATGTGATGGACCCTTGGGAAAGTCATTTGATTTTGCCTCTGCAGCTCAAAACCAGGAATGGTTCTACCCTAAAACAAGAGGGATCCCAGACTGATGGGTGGGGCCCCTGAGTAATCGCCTTGAAGGGACCAGCTAGGCTCACTGGCGCCGGGGACCTGATCCTACACGGAAGGGGAGAAAACACGGATGGGAGCTGTCAGCCCGAATTCCAATCAGAATGTTAACAGCTTCTCTGATACCAATTAACAGCCAGAAAAATATTACCCCTAGGCTCCAATATTACTTGCTTCTCAATATCCCTTCTGTTGAATCTCAGTGACATTTTTTTCTGAAGAGTCATAAACCTGTCAGGCCACTCAGGAACTAACTTAGAGTAATCATTGTCTTTATAAGGACTCCACCTCTTTAAAGTACAATTTAATTTATGATTTTACTGGCACTTACTGATTTCATCCACATTTTTAAGAAACTTCTGCAAGTCTTCCTCTTGAGAGTCAGCCATTGTGAACCAGAATCCCTGAAGGAGGCAGCACACATGATGAAAATTAATAATAATAAAACAGTAAATGGAATTTGTCAGGCTTATTAGCCTTCTACAACTAAGAGCCAAGTGATTACTTTTTAGATGGATTTGTGTTTATAAAAGTCGTGAATAACAAGCAGGGTGATCTATGTCATTCTGACTGCTGCCAGGGCCAAGGGGCACTCTTAAGGTGTGGAGATACTTCTGGAAAGCTGCCAGCATCCCTCCAATGGGGAAACGGCTCTGCAAAATGTTCCTTCAAAGCCAGTATCAACTGCTCTGATTCAGGGACCTGGCATGAAGCAGACCAGG